GTATGAATTATAGTTCATTGATCTTGAATTTTAATTGTTTTGTGAGATTTCTTTGTTGATTCATGTTATAAACTTATAGATCTTGGTTGTTGTAGCTCAATTTGAGTTCATTCCCTTTAACAAGTTCTAGATCTAAATTTTCTTTTCTTGACTCGGTAGTATCCAATTCAAACTTTGTTTCAGTTTCTTCCTTTTTTCTTGTTAGTTATTGTAATTTTTTTTTTATTCTTGCTCTTCAACTTAGTTTCTCTTATAGTTCATTCAATGTTCTTTCAATTTGCAATTCATGTTCATGCAATTTTATATGATTTAAATCTAGACTTCTAGCTTGAAATTACGATTTCTGGTTTTGCAACTTAACTTTAGGTTTTCATTTTTTAGCTTAGATCTTGCAATTTTTCTCATTACTGGCACTTTAATTGTTTTTACTTTAGATCATTACTTGTTTTTGCAATTTTAAGCTTCATCCCTTTTAATTTGTTGCAATTTACATCTAGTTTTGCTTGTTAAACTTTTGGTTTCCAACCTTGCACCTAACTTTTAGCTATGCTCTTTCTTTCTTAGATTTTCAATTCTAATCCTTGAATTTCACTTTGATGTAGTTTCAATATTTTTGTGCATTTTATTTTTATGTAATTCCCATCATGTGCGGTTAATTTCTTGAATAATTTTTAGAAGTTTCTTTTGTTAGAACTAGAAGTTAGTTTGGAGTTAGCTAAAGTTAGTTAATTCAGTTACATTGCTTTAGCTACTATTTTTGCTGAATTTTTTACTTGTCATTTTCAATTCTTAAATTAGATTTACATTTTCATTATTAATGTCATTGCATTCTATTTTAGCTACTATTTTTATACATTCTTTTTCTTTGCTTAGTTCACATATTGTAAACCTATATCTTACTATAATCATGCTTGAGGCACTGTTTGATTTTATTTTTTCTAGATAGTTTAATTTCATGCTTACCAATTGATTGAGCCAACTTTAGGTAAAGTGTGGATATAATCGGTACTTAGGCTAAGGATTTCTTTAGCTAATCTTTGTGGGGGATTGACATCCAAACTTTTTAGTCTCTATTATTATTTGAACATCCTGTGCATTTGTAGAATTGTCTAATCATAATTGTATAGGTAATCTTAGTAATCTTACTCAAACCCCTGAGGTTTCTTTTTGCAAACCAATTAGGTAGTAAAACCTGACAAAATAGTATCTCTTCTTAAGAATCATTAAGTGGTCTTTTGGATTTGAGAGCATTAAGTAGTTGTCATTCCCCAAGCCTAACAAATAAAACCCTTCTTGAGTTTCCAAATTTGATATAGTCCATAGAGGAAAGTTCATGGATGAAAAAAATAAAATAAAATGCTATCGTGCACATAAAGAAAAGCTATCATGGTTGTCTTATCATGTCTAATCCCATCAGAATAAACATTACCTAAAAAATAGTATACTTTATACTTAGAATTTTAAATAATAAAATTTAATTAAAAATTAAGGTTCATGAAGTGAAAATTTTGATTAGTTCGACAATAGATCAAATTAATCGATGTAATTCAATTAATCAATTATGACAATTTCAATCGGTTCAATTAATAAAAAAATTAAATCAATTTTTAATTTTTTAATTGAATTAATGAATTTGATGTTTGCTCAAACTTAAATCTAAATTCGAACAAGCTAAGTTAAGTTTGAGGGTTTGGACGAGTTGATCAATCCTTAGACACATTTAGCTAACAACCAAGTATTCCTTTTAACAAAAAAAAATTGCTAGGTAATTTTTTAAGGCGTACACCCTTTGATAATTATAGAAACTAGGGTATTATAGAAATTAGAAACTATAAAAACTAAGGCTTGAGAAAACCTTAACCTAGATGGATTTTGCATATCTGAAGCTATATTTGAATTAAGGTAAGAGGAGGAAAAGGAAAGAAAAGAAAAAGAAATAAAGAAAATTTTCTTTTGTTTGGGTATAGCATAAATAAAATAAAAGAAAGGGAGGGATGATGTGTCCCCTCACTTTTGACAACTTTATAAAAAAGAGTTATTTAGACTTGTTTTCTATGACTAAATGAGTTACTTTTGCTTAGTTCTTAGGTAAATAAGGTTCAATTTACTCCTAATAGGCTTCATTTTTTATTGTGTAAGAAATCTTGAAAGAAAGATTGAATCTAGAAGAATCTTGAAAGTTCTACATCAATTTTGGAAAATTCTTGATGCATTGGAATGAATCTTTTACTATTCTTGGTATGTTTTTTATGATTCTTGAAGTTCTTCGAATTTTTGGAAATCTTGAAGTGAAAAATGTGTAAGATTTGTTTTGCCAAACTTGGAAAAGTTAGAATTATTAAATCTTGATGAAAAATTCAAAAAAATTTAGAAAATTCATGCAAGAAATAAGCAAGGCATGTTCAACTATGGTGAATGTTAGATTTGAAGATTCAAGTCGAATGCAAGTTTATGATAGCTTATGTAGGTGCACATGCATGAGATTACTAATGGATAACATGATAGGAAGTCTTTTCTCATTGGCTAGGAAAGATTACTTGGAGGTTTATGTGACATGATGACTTGAGAATTCTATTCACATTGGAAAAGTCTAACAACCCTTGGTTTTCCTTACTTAATTTGGAATTCCTATTTCTACTAGGAGTTGCATTTATTCCTACTTAAGGTAGGAATTGCATGAATATATAAAAGTTGAATAACAAGGGGCTAGCATAATAAGAAACAACCAAATTTTATAATTCTCTAAAAATATTCCAAGAAAGAAGTCCAAATCAAAAAATGTAAGAAGAAGTTTAAGAAGATCCAACTTGGGATTTTCTAAAAGGTATGTAGAACATTAAAAGAAAACCATTCTTCTTTTCTTTCTAGAAATTGAAATCATCTCATTTCTCCTTTGAAAAAAAGTACAACATATCAAGAATAGAAAAGGCAGTAGCTACTTACCATCTAAAAGCCAAGATTCGGTTAGAGGAGTTCTTTTAAAGAGTTCCACTTCCATTCAATCAAGATTAACTTCAAGAAAGACTCTTTCCTTCAAGAAGTTCACTTTATTCAAACCTAAAATTCTACTATATTAGAGTCCAAAATAGCCAAACCTATCTTAGAATTCTTTGTCTGTAAATACTTAGTTTTAGGCATTAGGGAAAGAATGGTTGGGTTGATAGCCCAACTATAGCTTTATAGGGTTTACTTTCATTGTTTTCTAGTTCTTTTTAGTTTAAGGCTTGGGGTGATAAACCATTGTTATTTTAAGTTTTCTTGCATTGTTTTCTTAAGTTTTCTATTAAATTTAATTTCTTTCAAGTTAATTTAAATTTATACAAGTTTAATTTAAGTTTTCAAACTATTTCAATTCTGTTTTAATTTCATTTAAATTCAAACTCTTTAATTTTCTATTCTTGTTATTTATTTTAATTTGCTGTTTTAATTTAATTCAAGTTCAATTCATGCAATTTAAGGTTAATTTAGTTGTGCTCTATTTTGGTTTAATGTTTCTCAAGTTAAATTTAGTTGCACATGATTTCAAGTTATTAGATTATGTTTAATGTTTATGCATGTTTTAAAGTTTAATTTGCTTAAATTCAATTCAGTTAGTTGTGATTTAAATTTATTTACATTGTTTATGTTATTGCATGTTAGTTAAGTTTAATTTGCATGTTCTTAAGTTTAATAAATTTAATTTGCATTCAGTTTTAGTTAATTTAGTTAGCTACATTTTGTTTTGAGTTTAACTTATATCTTTGCATGTTTATTTGTTTAGTTAGGTTACTATTTAGTTATTGTATGTTAATTTCAGTTTAAGCTTGTTTAATTTGGTTTATTGCATAAGTTAATTTTTTGTTTTGATTAGTTAAATAGATTAATTTAGTTCTTGCATATTAGCTTCAATTTATCTAAATATTAGTAGGATATTATAATTTTGGTACTTAATATTAATTCTATTTACAATTCTCATGAGAATGATCTTAACTTATAACTTGTATGATTTGTACGCTTGTAAATTCTTAATTAACTTTCTCTCAATTTTCTTCATTTTTCAATTATCTCAAATTGAGGCAAAAGCTAGAGACAAAAAGAAAAAACATTTTAAAAAAAATGAACCGACAACTATACCCTAATTGTTATCTTTAAATTCTAAATAAAACCTTTATTAGTTTTCAAATCTACCTATTACCAAATCTTCTAATAGTTCTTAATCAACTTTTTTTTTTAATACTTTCGACTTCTACTAAATTTATAGCATAATAAGAACATTTAAAAGTTTAATATTTACACAAAATATTAATTATTTTTAAGTCTGAAATGGGGATGATAATTAAAGACGTGCTACAATATAAGTATTTACACTACTACTAAACCCATACTTCTCACCCTCAAAAATAAAAGCAATAATCATTATGTTTTATGCTCCCAATATTTTAGCCTAGTAAAGCATCGTCTTCAACTATGCAAATGATAATTTAATAATCACCTTAGAAAAAAATTTTAAAATTTTTTTGTGTATATATAAATATATATATAAAAGATAAAATATTTAGTTTAATATTATATGTTATTTTATAAAATAAAATTATAATTGAATAAAATATTAGAATGAATTTTTTTCCTTTTTTTTTTAACCAAACAATGATTATTGTAATTTTTTTTCTTTTTTTTTTTTATTAATTTTAGCTAAGTGATACATGTATTAATTCTTTCCTTAACTTCAAAAAAGGGTTTCTTTCCTTTCATTTACTTTCTTTTCTTTCCATTCAATCACAAAAAAATACTCCTTGTTAAAACCTTCGCATGAAAAGTCTTTGTAACTTTTTTCGAAATTCAATTAGGAGTTTCCTAATACCTTTGTTGGTTAAAATAATAACAAAAAGAAAGTGAAAAGTTTTTTGTTTTTTTTTTTTTTTGATAGCCGTTTTTTATATGCATAAACTTTTATCCATTTTCCCATAATGGAAGGAATATCAAATTGTTAAACTCTAAGTTGAGTCTTTCTTGTCAACCAATTCTAAGACGAGCTTATCATTCATTTAGTCAAAAAAAAAAAAAGAAAAAAACCTATCATTCATCTGCGCATGCTGCGTACACCAAATGGCTGCCAACCATAAAAACGTTCTACAAAAGTGCCACAACATTTTCAAACTATTTTAGATTTCTCTTTTGATTCTTCCCTCTACCTCTAGTTAAGTAAAAACACTAGAGTCAGAGACTTAAAACGCATGAAAACCAAAACAAAGAGCCAAAACGAGAACACAATCAATACTATTATATTATACATTATACAACATACTTACCATCACCTTCTAGAACGTTTCCTAGCCCTCCCAGTACCCCCCACTCCCACCTCATTCTCAACGTTGTCTCTCCCTCTCTTTCCGGTCGTCGACTCCGCTGCAGCCCTCTTTGATGGCCTCCCAACCCCTCTCTTCACCCTTCCACTCTCCTCTCTCGCTCCTCTTCCACCTGAACTCCGTGTTACCCTCTTGACTTCTCTCCTCCTACCCCTCGCCTTCTCTTTACTATCTTTACTCTCATCATCCGAATCGTCGACGTCGTCGTCATCATAATCATTGTTATCATCTTTCTCTGTCACTTTACTGGGTGAGTTTTGCTTCATTCTTTGCAAGAAACTTGCCGCGCCTTGTTTCTTTCTAGCCATGTTTTCTTTCTTATCCACCTTGAGCTCCAGAGCATCATGAGAGCTAAGCTCATTACCACCATACTCATGCTTTGTCTCCCCATTCTTGCTGCTTGCTCTTAATGAGTTTCTGCGGCCTGAAACCGCTCTTTCTTTACTTCTTTTCTTCCCAATGCCTTTGTCATCAATCCCGACAAAAGAACTAGTATCAACCTTCTCAGTTTCCTTTGGTTTCTCCTCAATTTCTCTTTCCTTTTTATCTCCTCTCCTCGTAGCATTCTGGGCTAATGCCTTGATAGAACTACGTTTACTGCATGCAACTATCGTAGAAGATTTGTTGGGTTTCGAGAGAGATACGGGGGGCTGGTCAGTTTCGGGCTTTAAAGTCATAAGTTGAAGAGAATGTTTTCGAAGCTTATCGCTCATTTCCTTCAAGACCAAAGCCCGAAGTTCTTGAGCAGCAATATATTCTGGAGACGTTTGGCGGTGAAAAACAGTTATATTGTTGAATAAGAGAAGGAGATCCCTGAAGAACTTTGTGGTGCAACCAGAGTAGACACCTTTATCAAGCCTGGATTGAATTCTTTGGAGATCCATATGCTGCTTAATGAGGTTTTTGTACCTTTCAGATTCCTGCAACAATGGTAAAATCATAAAATTATTCACTGACAGGTTAATTTGACAGAAGCCAGGATACAGAAGCTGGACCTTCAGAGTTTTCTGTTGGTATTCCTTAATCTAGATCTTTAGAAGTAGCAATCTATATATTACTACTAGTATTAATCAAATAATTAATACTTAACTTCACTTTTCCTTACTAGTAAAAATTTAGTTAATTAAACTTTAGTATTAAATTCTATATTAATTTAATTGACTGACTTGTTTAAGACGCTTTAAACCGTTGTTGGCATTTAAAAAAATGAATGTTTTACTTATAAAATACATTTACATAAACACTTTTTTATAAGTAGGTTTTAGTCGATGTTACCAGTAAAATTAAACCAAAAATCGTATGATGATTCATATTTTACATTATTAATTCCACCAAAAATAATATCATTAAATTATAAATTTATAATTATAGGATCCAAATTTGATTATTTGAAGCTTAAAAACAAAAATAATTAAAACCGCTCTGTGAAGATGATGATAATAATAATGATAATTATTATTATTATTATATCAAGAAACATAATGTAAAGGCACCCAGATTTCCTTAAAAATGCAAAAAAAAAAAAAAAAAAAACAATAGTTATTTTAAGCGCACGCTGTGTATGGCAAAGCACATGAAAAAAATTGGATGCTAAATAGGAGAATATATATATATATATATATTTGCAACGTCAATGCATTGTGAGAAAAATATAATTAAAGACATAATAACTATTGATGAATTATGACTTTTATTCACGTAGAATAAATAATGATTAAATATATTTAAATTATAGTTGATAAAAAATGAAAGAGATCCGGATATTCAAAACAAAATCCCATCCTAGAGCCGTGACAAAGGGGAAAGAGGACTATATATCGGCAACCAAGCAATCTAAAGATTACAAATCTTAGCGACAAAAAATATGTAGAGGCTCTAAAGGAAAAATGAGTGCATCAAGCAAATATTGAACTACCCTATAATATTCCTTTTGGATCCCACAAAACCCCTTTTGCATCTCAACTTGCAAAAATCAAGTTGCTATTATTTTCCGTACTAAACAAAGTATTTTTAAATTAAATTTCAAAATTTTACACTGATTAATAATGTTGAAATTCATTAATACAAATAATAAGAATAGTAATAATATATAAGTGGTACAACTTTTTGGTGAAATGATCAAATTCCTTCAAAATAAATTATTCAAGTACTTATGTGTGGAGCCAGCCAACAACCTTATAAACTGGCCGACATCACTCAATTTTAAAATTTTGAAAAAAAAAAAATCTCCTTAAGAATATATCTTAAAAAAATCAATTATTTTTTTATTATAAACAAACGAAACTAGAAACTGTACTATCTCAACTCAAGCAGCACTTATCAATAAAAAGTAAAATTGAACATTATTCAAAAAAAAACAAAAACTCAAAAACATACAGTTCAAGTGAGAGATCATCAAAGGATAAATTAATTAATCATTTCTTTTATTTCTTTTGATTAAATTATTTTATAATTAATGTGTATTAATTAGTCCAAAATAAAAATAAGAAAAAAAACTTAAAAATAAAAAACCAATCAAGAAAAGTATAAAATAATAATAACCTAAAATTACGTTATTTAGGATTTAAAATTTATATTTTAGTCCATATTTTCATTTAAAAAAAGTTGGACATTTCCATTGCGGAAGAAAAAGTATTAATCCATATTCAATAAGAGAAATGTTGATGATCTATAACCGTCCACAACGTGCCACATTAAGCCTAAGACTGGTCTAAATTACGGGAAACCCCCAATGTTTACGTCATTCTACCGGACTAGCTAGGTGGCAGGCTAAATAGCTCCTAGCCTCATTCCCGCACCATACAGGAGACAAGAGTCATTTCTCATTTTCCCGACATTTTCAATTTTGTTTTTATTTTTTATTTTTATGTATTTATTTATTTATTATTTAATTTTTTATTGTTATTAAAAAAACAAAAAAATTCCTTATTGGTTAATATTAATATATTGATATTTTAAAAATTACCTGACTCCGTTGGCGGCGGTCGAAAGCCGAGCCTAGCCGATGAGAGCGGATGATCCGGAGGAGCCTAATCAAGGACTCAGGCTTCACCGCCGAGACTCTCATCTTGGCGGGAGAAAACTCATTTTCCTCACGCTCCTCTCCGCTGCTACTTTCACCTCTACTACTACCACTACGACGTTTCTTCTTCGACAAGCTCGACGAACTTTGTACGTCACTCATCTGCTTCTTATTATTAGGTTCTTCGCCATTTACTCGTTCATTACCCGGCCCTTTCCCGGTTCGAACTAGATCAGACTCATTCGCCGCTCCCGGTTCGACCGGCTCTGTTTTAACTTGTGCCTTTTTCTGTCCTACTACTTCCCCCTCATCGTTTTGTTCGTCTTTAACGATAGTAGTCGTTGTCGTCGTCGTCGTCGTGGCATCCTCAGGTTTTTGACTAGTGGAGTTGGACTCGTTGAAGGATCGATCACCAATATCACCGGAATCCTCACCGGCGGTGTGTTTACCGGCGATGATCTGTGGCGGTAAGTTATTCTGCCGGTCATCCAGATCTGTCTCGTCTTTCAAACTCCTCTCTCTTTCCTCCACCAATCTCTTGACCTTCAATTCCAGCGACCTGTAATCACAAAAAAGCAACCTCTTAGATCTCACCAGAAGGCCAGGAAACTACGTAATCATTTCATAAAGGTATCGTCATTTGATTTCAATTGTTTACACGATCGAGACGTCACGTTGTTGAACCTCCCGACGAAGCTCTTCGACACGAATCCTCCGTAGCTGGTCAACCAAACTCGAGGAAAAAGCGGCGTCGTTGGGGGATATGAAGCGTCGTTTAAGATCCATAAACTTATCTTGACAGAGTTGAGGAGTGAAAGAAGGAAGAAGAGAAGAAGAGGAAGAACAGATTCTCCGGTTCTGTAGTTCCAAGGCGATGGAGTCCCAGCTGTTAGTGCCATGGCGGTTGACGGCACAGGCTAGGAGAAGCTCCTCTAACGTACCCCAAAGTTGCGCGCTTGTTTTGTGTTCCCTAGCCATCGTACGCTCACGTCATCATCATCATCGATATCATTTTGTTTCAAAAAACTAGGGTTTTATTTTTATTTATTTTTAGTTTTTTTTTTTTCGGTGCTGTTTTGCGGAATTGCCGTTTTGATTGGGGTTCTTCTATATTCTCATCGTCGTATTTTTCTTCTCTATATTATAGTACTAGATTTTATTACCAGCCAAGCCATGGTTTTAAAAATCGTTTTTATTTTATTATTTATTTTTGACAGTATTTATACAAGCTAGTGTTGGGTGGGCTATGTGTGTGCGCCTTTCCTCTGTGGAGTTTCCCTGAGCTTGGGATTTTTGGTTTCCCACGTCAGTTTGGGCTGGATCGGATCATTTTTCTACAGTTAAGGAAGATGATGGACGACTTGCTTTTATTTTTCACAAGGCTGGGTCTTGCACTTCGTTGCAGTATTTTTTTAATTTCATTTTAATTAAAAATTAATAAATTTTAATTTTTATTATAAATAAATTACCCAAAAAATAAATTTATTACAAATAATTTATTAAAAATATTATAAAATGCTTTGTCAGTCCTCAATTCAAATTTAAGGGAAGTAATTATTTATTTAATGTCATCATATATTTCCTTAAAATTAATTTTTTGAAAATTTTAATCTCTATTTTTATATTTATATTGGACATGTATAAAAGAATATAAGAGGTTTTGTAAGTAAAATAATTTTTTATTTTAATTATAAATATTTTCATCTATTATTAATTATTTACCATATTTCATTTTTACAAACTTTGTGACTTTAATTTTATTAGTTTCATATATTTTTATTTATTCTTTATGAATTTAATTAACTTTCATATTAAAAAATTTTAAGACTTTTTTAACATTTTGGTAGATTTAATAAAAATTTATTTATGAATTTATTTAATTTTAATTTTGAAAATTTCTAAGACTTCATTACTACTTTCATGAATTTTATAAAATTTTCGTCACTTTAAAATTTTACTTTATTTTTTACATAAAATTAAACTATTTTTAAAAAAATTAGCATTCATTCATTTGGATAAGCCAAATAGTGCCGTTTGGAAGATCTCACCTATAAAAATGGTGGATAAATTTTTTATTTGTATTGAAAATTTGGACCCACCCCATCCAAAAAAAAAAAAAACATTTTTCATGAAAAACTGATAAATTGAATACCATTCAGTCTCATTACAACTTTCCAAGCAATTAAAATTAAAATTCAATCATTAAAATTACAAACCCAATAAATATTTAATTCATAATAAATTTAGACATTTGCCACATTTAATTTTTTTAATTTTTTAATTTATTGTAATATAAATTTTTTAAAAAATAAAAAGAATAATTTTTTTTTTTAGAATTATGAAAATATCCTTTCAATCAAAATTATCGAGAGACAGCAAAGGATAATTCAAATCTCCACTCTTTCTTCTAAGAATGATTGGAATAATAAATACGAGAGTTCAAGTTAGGAGGCTTTTCCCTATCCACAAGCAGGAAGGAACATAAACAGTTCAAATATAATCAATGATTAAGCCTCTCGATTCTACCAAGGGCCATAGCCCTTGGCCCAATTCACTGAGGATGCTATCACCCCACTTCCAGCTTCTTCGATCGAATTAAAGAATTTAGACCTTTCCTGATGGCATCAAGAACATTTGTAATTTGTGAGTAAAAGTGTTCATTGGGTAGGGTAGGTCCAGTCGGTTTGGGTTCACATTACTTTAAAGTCAGGTCATTTCAAGTTTGATGATCGATTGTTCAGAATCGAATCATTAAATTCCGATAATTTTAAGGTTAAAATATTAAATATTAAAATCAAATCAATTCATTTTTAATTATTTTAAATTTAAATTTTAAGTTGTTTCTATTTAAGTCATGTCAGAATTAAATTAATCTAAGTTTGGATATTTTTATTTTTGAGTTAAATATATTAGAAAATTTAATCAACTTCTAATTTAAATAACTCGGATAAAATTTTTAAATTCAGACTAAATTTAGCAGCTTTACCTATTAGGGTTGTTTAGGGTTCGAAAACCCAAATAATCCCTTCCCCATCCCCTAGTTTTCTATTCTAATAAAATTTTGAAAGGTCATTAGATTAGGGAAATTTTAGATTTTGAGGGTAAAAATAATTTTGGAAAAAAAAAAATTAAAAAAATATATAATTTTTGGATTTTGTTCACTCAAAAAATATATAAATTTTGTGTTTGATTTAGAGGAATTTAATATTATCTAATAAAATTTTTTACTATATTATCATTGGTAACACGTAAATAATATATGATATTTATAATACATTACACACGAATAACATGATTTTTTGTTGAAATTAAAGAATTTTAAATATATATTTTAAATTTTCAACAAAGATAATTTTATAATCGTAAGTACTATCCTTAAGTTGGTTGTCTCTATGCAAATTAAGTAAATTTTATATGTTTTAATATTAAATAAATGTATTTAGATTTTATATGTAATAATATTAAGTAAAAATATTTTATATTTTATTTTAATTTTGTTATGAGTAATAATAAGGATTACATTTTTTATCTTAAAAATATGATTTTTGTTAAAATTTTAAAAATAAAATTTATATATCCATAACATTTTTATCTTAAAATTGTAGTTTTTATTAATATTCTAGAATTTCAAAAATATAGTTTTAATATCCATTACGTTTTTATTTTTAAAAACATGATCTTTATTAAAATTTCATAATTTTGAAAATAAAATCTCAACATCAATTGTGTATTTATTTTAAAAATGTGGTTTTTGTTAAAGTTTCAAATTTTCAAAAATATAATTCAATATCCACTACATTTTTATCTTAAAACTATGGTTTTTGTTAAATTTTCAAATTTTCAAAATTATAGTTCAATATCTACTATTTTTTTAATTAAAAATACATCATTTTTTCAATATCCATTATGTTTTTTATCTTAAAACTACGGTTTTTGTTAACATTTTAAAATTTTAAAAATATAATTTTAACATCCGCTACATTTTTATCTCACAAACACAATTTTTGTTAAAATTTTAAATTTTTGAAAATAAAGTTTTAACATCCATAAGTTTTTTTATATTAAAAACATAGTATTTTTTAAAATATCAGAAATTTGAAATTATAGTTTCAGTATTGATTACGTTTTTTTATTTTAAAAATATAATGTCTATTAAAATTATAAATAACAAAAATCACATTTACTTTATAATTTTAAGAAATTAGAAAGGATAATATAATTTAAAAATACAAATAAGTGAGGGTAAATAAGGTAAAATTTTTGCTTTTCATCTAGAATCTAAAAACACCTTAGAGAGAGAAAAAAATTTTTATTCTACCAAACTTTCCTCTGTTTTGACACTATTAAAAACTTTTAAAAATTTTATAAATCACATTGAGTAAATCAAACTAAAAATCAAATTATAAAAAATAAAATTTCAATCAAAAATCTTATTTTCTCTCAAATTAAATACCTCCTAAAGATTTTTTTACCATCGTTGCATCCCATTCCCACACTAAACTAGTTTTTTTTTTTTTTTCAAGTTTCTTATATACGAAATGAGGTTCAAAATCTTCCAATAAACACTAAAATATTATATATTGATAGCACGAGTAAGGCGCACAGTGTACGGGATAATCAAGAAAGAAAAAAAAAGTATGTAAGGTAGGCATTGCAACGATAAGGTAAGGCACATAGTGTATTCTTCTCCATCTTTATTATTAGATTTTTATATTATATTTTTTTTGTACTCATGCTTAATAATTATTTTAAACTTAATTTTATACTCATACGGATAATTTTCATATTCGTAGTTTTTTAAAAAGGATAAAATTAAAATTTTTTGTCTTTTTTATTTTACTATTTATGTAATTCTTTTATAAATATATATTTTTTAATAAAAATATATTAATTTTAGTTCATTTAAAATAAAATTTTATATTATTTAATAAAAAATTTATTTACTAAATATATATAAAGTATGAGTACGGAATAAGTGCTATATTACCTGTCCATGTTTTCGTATAGGATAAAAATTTAAAATTATATCTATCCTCATCTCTAAAATTTAATATCCATTTGCATCTATATTCAAATAAAAAATCAAATTCTCTATTAAATATGAGTAAAATTAACATCCTTATCGTAAAAGATAATTAAAAAATATATAAAATCAAAGAGTATTAGTATATATTATTATGCATAAAATATATTTTTCCATATATTTATACATTCATTTGGAATTTTAAAAAGCTTGTATTAGCTTTATCTTTTTCTTCCTTCATTGTTTTTGCTAATATATATATATATGTTTTTGTTTTTTTTAATTTTAATAATGTCTCATATTGGTTGGAGAATCTACTTCATTAATTTAGAACTCCCATTTGTGAACTGAAGATCTAATTAGGAATTTGCTTATGTGGCTTTCTACTTTACATGTCCATAAAACTTAAATTTTATTAATTTTCCTGATAATTTTTGGATAAAGTTGTAGTTGCAAACTTTTTTATTTAGGTTACACTTTGATTTCTACAAACATCTTATTTGTCCAGGTTTTTATTATTAATCTTATTAATTTTTTTTTTACAAAAAAAGTTTTAGCTGAAACTAGGAAAGAAAATTGGATGGAAAGAGGAATTGTTAGTATTGTGTTGGGATTAAACTTTTAAAACTCAAATTATTGATCCAACAAGGATTAGATGGTTGACTAAATAAAAATAATGTGTTTAGTTTAATTCGTGGGAGTAAGCCGATTATGAATTTAAGTTGGATTCTAAGTTAGAATTGGGGTCAGAAAAGAATTTTTAGAATTCTTCTCTATTTATGTTAGGATTAAATCCGTATTTAAAGAATTACCCATAGCTTGAATAGTCAATCAAGAATTGGCAGGAAGAAAAGCAACAAATTTTTTGTAGTGATCTTTTTATCTTCGAAAATTTTTGGAGTGGAGTTCTTGTTAGATTTTAGGTTTTGATTTGGAGAAAAGTTAGATTTAGGTTAGATATGAGGAAACAAAAATCAAAATCAAGTTTAGGGATTTGTTCTATGAATTTTTCTAGATTTCTTCCTGGGTACTTTGAATTTTTTAGTTAAGTTTTCTGGTGACTTTGAATTTCCCATTGATATTTCTGGTGATAGTTTAAAGTTTTAAATGAAACTTTGAAGTTTTCAGTGTCGACAACTAAGTTTCTAAAGAGAGGTTAGGGAGAACTCGATACAGCGAGAGAAAAAGCAGAGTAAAACTAAAAGAAATCATTTTTTTTTTTTTTTTTGGCTTTTAATACTCCAAGGAATGATATCATTTTTTGCTTTAAAATTTTTTAAGGATCCACAACTTACTCGACAAGGATCCAAGC